CCTCCTGCACTCAGCCCTTGGGAGGCATCTGGGCCCCAGAGGCTGCCTCCGGGAACAGAGTCCCGGGAACAGAGATGCATAAAGATGTTTAAAGGCAGTGTGTGTTCCAGGACCCCTCCCAGCATCACCTCTCTGCGGCTGCTGAGGCTGACATTGGGGCCCAGAAGTTTCAACCTGACAGGTGCCTAGATGCGTGAGGGTCTGGGGACACCTGGATGTGCAGCGTATAGAGAAAGCAGGGAGAAGAGCCAAACCCACAGCGGGAGAGAGACAGTCAGACTCTGGCCACAAGGACAGCATGGGCTGAGACCACCCCTGCCTGGACCGCTCAGGACAGTGGCCAGCAGAAGCCTTGTAGATGAGCAGGCCAGGTGGGAACAGAGGAGATGAGGAAACGCTGATATTGTCAGGTCCTGAGACTTCACTTTCTTTGGTCCACGTGCCAGCGACTTCTGCCCCAGGCTCAGCCTAGACCCCATTCCTGGGGACTGAGAGGGCCTCCCCACCACCCCCTTCTCCTGGGTTCACAGCTTCCCCAGGCTGGGGCTTTGCTCGGGATTGCCATTGGTCCAGGTGAGGCAGAGTGAAGGAGGCGTGGGTCCTGCCCACTCACCCCAGGGAGCTGAGTGGAGCAGGGGTGAGAGCATTTGGGGGAGCCTGGCAAGGGAGGGTGAGAGGCGCTGACCCGGGTGAGCACCCTGCCCCTGCCTCCCAGGGGTCTCCACCTACCAGTCTCTCTCCTGGTCCCCTTAGTGTGGCAGTTTCTGCCCCTGTAGGTGCCCCTGGGTGACCTCAGCATCCTGGGTCCCTCCGCTGCCACTCTTTTCCGGGGGCCTGCCTTGATGTGAGCAGGGGCTGGGGACACCACTGTGAGTGGCTGACAGTTGTGACAGCCATCCCTGGAGGTAGTGAGCTCCCCACCACTAGATGCTGAGCAGAGGGGAGCTTGGTGGGGATGCTCTCAGAAGGCTGGTCCTGGTCACACGTGTGCTCAGGGACATGGATGTACTGTGTGGAGGCCCTGAGTGTGGGAGCCCAAGTGTACGAGGAGGTCTGTAGCTGGTGTCCTGGGATTCTTGGGGGATTCGGCATGGAGAGGGTGAGGATGTGTGTGCGAGTGCGCACGTGAGTGTGTGCGTCCAGTGCCACATGGAAGTGCACACACGTTTGCTTGTGAGTGGATACACACGGGGGCAAGGTGGATTGTGGGTAACGAGTGAGCGCCAGCCCCGTATGTGGAGTCAGTGTGCAAAGGGGCGTGTTCTGGCAGGCACAGAGAGCGACGTGTGTGCGGGCGCGGGAGCCAGGCTGTGCTGGGCAGAGCACCTGGCCCTGGGGAAGGGGGCTGCCTGTGGGCTCCTCACAGGGGCGTGGCCTGGGAGGACCCTCCTTCTGACTTTGGACTTGGAAGCTGCTGTCTCCTGGGCTCGAAGCCCTTTGGTGAGGGTCTATGGGGCTGTGCTTGGAGTGACCAATCTCCAGCCCAGCCCCCCTCTTACCCACCCTAGGCTCTGGAATAGCAGGGCGATAGGTGTTCTTCCACGTTGGTTCCCGGGCACGGCCCGGGCTGAGCCTGGGCTGGGAGGGCTTGGCGTGTGGGTCAGTGAAAGCAGAGGCTCAGGACCCGGCAATATCCACCCACACCTGCCTGTTCGAGCCCCACCGATCTGCTCAAGGCTGTCCTAGGTGTCCCCACTCCCCACCCCCGACCTGCTTGGCCCCGCTCTGGGCCCTGATCCATTGCAGTGCAGAGGCTTCCTGCAGGAGGGGGCGTTGGCCAGACCTTTGCAGTGCAGAGAAGGCTTCCGAGGGGTGGGGAGCGAGTGGGCTGCGGCGAGTGTAGCTGTGTGCAGTGGGGAACGGGAGCAGGAGGAAGGCTAGGACCAGGTAGGGTGGGAGTGGGGGAGGGGCCAGAGGTCTCCACCCCGCCGGGGCTTTGGCCTGGATCGGGGTGGCTGGGGTTCGTCGCAGGCCCCAGCAACTGGGCACCTGCCAGGGGGTGGGAATGAGCAAGCAAGGAGGGGTGACCTGCCCGCTCTGCAGAGGAGCCTGCTCTCAGCTGCTGCTGCTGCAGCAGGAGCAGCGGTTGCCTGGCACCTCTGCGGTTGCCATGGAGATGGTGGAGGTGCTAACTTGCTAATGAGTCCGCTCTGCAGAGGAGCCTGCTCTCAGCTGCTGCTGCTGCAGCAGGAGCAGCGGTTGCCTGGCACCTCTGCGGTTGCCATGGAGATGGTGGAGGTGCTAACTTGCTAATGAGTCCCCCTCGGCTGCAAATAACAATACTACAGTGGTTAATAGGGCCGGGCTCCAGCTGGAAGCGTTCCTTAGGGCAGGGCAGGACCAGGTACAAGGTCTGGGAGCCCATCTGCCCACCCCTCCAGCCCCTGCCCACGGCCCTGCAGCCCGATTTGCCCTCACCCCCCTTCTCTCTGGATCTCAGGCCTCCCCTCCCCACCCCGGCTTCTCTTGGGGCAGTCTGAGTGCCAGGCCCAGCTGCGGGGAGGGTGAGGGGCTCTCCCAGCCCCTTCCTTCCTCCCCACGCTGTGAGTTCTGTTTCCTTCTGTTGTTTCAGGTGAGAGATAATCCACCCCCACCTAACTTAAGGGGACACTGAGGCTTCAGGGTGGCAGGGTCAAGGGGCTCTGCACAGGACCCCTGGTCCCATGTCCCTGCCTAGCATGGCCCTCAGGGTCCTGGGCGGCTGTGCTGGGCTGTTGGTCCCACTGTCAAGGGCGGAGGCTCTGCCCAGGGTTGCTGCAGCAGAGTGCAGGAGCACCAGGGTCAAGGGGCTCTGCACAGGACCCCTGGTCCCATGTCCCTGCCTAGCATGGCCCTCAGGATCCTGGGCGGCTGTGCTGTGCTGTTGGTCCCACTGTCAAGGGCGGAGGCTCTGCCCAGGGTTGCTGCAGCAGAGTGCAGGAGCACTGAGAGCTGCCCTTCCGCGGGCCCAGGGGACCTGGTGGTCATGGCAGCCACCACCTTGTGCAAGATTCAGGTTACAACTCAGGAAAAACTTACCCAAACAGTACAGGATTTGAATTGAGGACGCCCTCAGCAGGCAAGGTACCCGCTCTGCAGGCAGGGACTCTTTTTGGCAGGCCAGGGACCCCCCTAAGCCATCCAGGGACCACCCCCTCAGCAGTCCAGGGACCCCCCTCTGCAGGCAGGGGCCCTCCTCTGCAGGCAGGCCCTTTTGCTGTTGGACCACTGCGTGTTTCCCTTGGGAGGGACAGCTGGCCAAGCTTCGCCCCCAGGCCTTGCCCCCACAGTGGAAGAGACTCAGTGCAGGTCTGGAGACCTGCTGCCATGGTTCCTGGTGTCTGTTTTGGAGGATCAGTCTTGGGCTGCCCATCCAAGGGCAAGTGCTTCACGGGCCCCAGGAACCCTGGATGGTGGGACAGGTGGTGGGAACAGCGCAGATGCCTCTTGGCTGAGGCTGCAAAAGCCAGGCAGGGGTGAGTGCAAGGTCTCTGGAGGAGCTTGGGCCAGGACTCCCAGGCAGGGAGGGCGCTGGGACCTGTCCCACCACCCTGGGAGCTGCTGCTGCTGTCCCCAGCGTCGCAGGTTGTGATGCACCAAGCGTCTTCAGGGTTCCTCACTGGGCTCCCAGGCGCCCCATGTGGCTTCCTGAGGGGCTTTCCCGCTGTGGTCCCTTCTCCATAGGCCCTGGGGGAACACCTGTCCCCCACCCTCTCCCCTCCCCTGAGCTGGGTGGGGATGTGGTGGAGTGAAGACCCCGATTGAAAGGCAGTCGTGGGGGTGCAGGCGAGATGGGCCTTGCAGGGGCTGCCCAGGAGCCCTGAGTACTGTCTCATGTCCTTGTGTGTGACTTTGGGTTGGCCCCACCCCTTCCCTGAGTCTCAGTTTCCTCATATTTAAAGTAAACTTGTCATCCTGACACTGTGTGCTTCTTGGGGGGCTGTGAGGCTTGGGTGGGCCCGGAGAAAGGCCAATCCTGGCAGATGGCAGGGAGATGGGGCCTGACAGGTGGGGAGTGTGGCAGAGACTTGTTGCCAAGCCCACAAGAATGGGCTCCCAGAGTCCCCAGATCCCGAGCCACCTCCTACTCTGTCCATGCACCCCTCAGCCTGAGGGCTTTTGGAGGCCATGCTGAGGGTCCCAGACACACTGACCCCACCCATCCTGGGATCTACCCATCCCTGAAGGTTCCCCAGACCTCAGGCCTCCGCTGTGCCCCACCCCCACCTTGTGAGGGTGTGCCGCACCCCCACAGGAGCTGGCCACTGGCCTCAGAACCTTTGTGCAGCAGGCAGGCAGATGCGCTAAACTTCACTTGCAGAACTGGGACCGTCGCAATAGCAAAGGAGCCCCCACTCCACACCCGAGCCCGCGCAGCACCCTGGCCTGCCCGTCCATGGCCTCTGGGAGCCCATTAGCTAGTGAAGGCTGCCCCAAGCCCCGCCACCCACCAGGGTCCAGATTATCAGTTTACAGAGCTGCCTCAGGTGATGAGGCTCCGGGATTGGGCTTTCCCTGGGTTGTGCCAAGGAAAAGAGGGGCAGATCTGAGGAGAGCTAGCTGAGAGGAGGGCAGAGGGCTTGGCAGTGAGGGAAAGAAGGGACCATGCTGGGGGTCCTGGGGGTTGGGAAGATGCAGAGGCGGAAGTGGGGGATCTGCACCCCAGGGATGAGATGAAGTGATCTGGAGCTCACAAGTGCCCAGGAACCCCAGGGCCCCAGAGCAAGCACCCTTGAGCCTCATCCTGCCCCTGGATGGGCCCTGAGACCCTCCTCTGCCCTGTTGTTTCCCACGGAGAGGCTGGCACCATAGGCAGGGGCTGGACTGGGGCTGTCCTGTGGATTCTCAACTTAATGAGGCCTTCATCCATCCAGAGGGAGGAAGGGCCCTTCGGCACAGGTCAGCCTCAGGCGTTCCGAGTTATGGTGCCCTTGGATCCCAGCACTGGCCCTACCTGCGGAGCTGTTGGGTGCCCACCATAGGGGCCCTGCAGGCTGCTGACCGTCCGCCTCTCCCCGCAGGTCTGGCGCCATGTGCTAGGTCACTCTGAATTGGAGGCCACACCCTGGGCCATCGGACAAGCCCCTCCTCACTTCAGGGGTCACCCGCCCCACTGCCCACTGCCCTGCCATGGCTGGGGACCGACTCCCGAGGAAGGTGATGGATGCCAAGAAGCTGGCCAGCCTGCTGCGGGGCGGGCCCCGGGGGCCACTGGTCATCGACAGCCGCTCCTTCGTGGAGTACAACAGCTGGCACGTGCTCAGCTCTGTCAACATCTGTTGCTCCAAGCTGGTGAAGCGGCGGCTGCAGCAGGGCAAGGTGACCATCGCTGAGCTCATCCAGCCGGCCGTGCGCAGCCAGGTACCCCTATCCTGCCCCATCCAGGCCCCTGGATCATCCCCCTCCCCCCGGGCTCCCATCACTTCCAGCAGCTGAACTCCTCAGCCTACCTAGGATCATGGGCAGCCCCAGGCTTCCCTGTTACCAGTACGCAAATGCACCACCTCCCCAGCCTCTGTGCAGCGCCTGCCCACACTCCTGGAGACTCTGACCCTGTCTGGGTCTTCGCTCAGCCCCGCAGGGAGGTCGGGGGACTGCCATTTGTCTCCCCATGCACATACAGGGCTATGTGGCCAAGCCCAGCACAGGAGGGCAAGTAGCTGAGCATGACGCAAATGCACAGAGGGCAGTGCAGAAGAGGGGCAGCCAGCCGGGCATGCACTGAGACAAGGCTGCTGGTCTGACCACTCTGACTGCTGCAAGGATGGGAGGGGTGGCCGGGGGCCCATGCTGAGCAATCCATGTCCCCAACCCCCAGCTCTCCCCCCATCTTCAGGGACCTAGAATTCTCTCTGTGGCCCCCAGCAATGTCCTTCTGGGAGGGACAGCTCATTCCTCCAGGACCATCAAGTCCAGCTACTGGGAGGGACCTGCTAGGCCAGTGACCCGTGAAGGTGGCACCTCCTGCCACCGCCTTCAGTGGGGGTAGGGTGACAGGCAGGCAGCCCAGAGGCTTTAGGAGGGGTCTGTGTCACTGCCCTGCCCTGCTCAGAGCTGGGACATGAGAGGACCCAGGTGGGATGGCCGCTTGTCGGGAGCTCCCTGCGGCCTCCAATGAGGGAAATCCAGTGATTAATCACCTCCAGCGAGGACTCCCGGCCAGAATGCGATCCCATTGGCTGCTGGTGACATCATCTGTCCCGGGGTTGGTGGCTCAGCTGGCTTAAGAGCTGAGTGTGCTTGGGGGGCGGGGGCATGAGCTGTGTCTGAGCAAAAGCCGCTCAACATCTGGCCCCGAGCCCGGGCCCTCTGGGTGGGGGAGAAGGGCAGGAGGCACCCCACTTCCAGCTGCCACCTCCTGAATGAGCGTTGGGGGGAAGGAGCTTCTGCTGCAGCCCTCAGTTCTCCATTGGGGGCGGGGAGGAAATGAGGCTAGAAGGAGAGGCCCGATGGCTCAGTGGTCAGCTCCAAAGAGGGCCCAGGCCCAAAGGCACCTGCTTCTGAAATCCCCGAAATACGCCTCCCAGGAACACTGAGAATGGGTTTCCCTTTGCCTTGGCAACCCTGGGAACCAGCCCAGGCCACGCCCGTGTGCTCTTGCCACTCTGTGTCCCCGGGACCCCATCACAGTCACCTGTGTCTCCTCCATGCGGGCTGGCCCACAGTCGACGCCCACACATGCCCGTGCCCTTCCCTCTGCCTGATCTGATGCCGGTTTGTGTGGCTATGGGCATCTACACCTGTCCAGGTGTGAGCATATCTGTGCACCCGGCAGGTGGAGAAGAGACGAGGCATGAGGTGGGCAAGGTCACAGCAGCCCCTCCCTCCCATTGTCCTTTGACCCCCTGCTCTGCCCTGGGCCAGCAGCCGTGGGTAATGGCAGCACCCTGACCTCTGCTCTCCCGGCCCCCAGGTGGAGGCCACGGAACCGCAGGACGTGGTGGTCTATGACCAGAGCACCCGGGACGCCAGCGTGCTGGCTGCCGACAGCTTCCTCTCCATCCTGCTCAGCAAGCTGGATGGTTGCTTTGACAGTGTGGCCATCCTCACAGGTGGGCTGCCCCTCCCTTGGTGTCCACATGGCAGGGGAAGAGGGGTCCCAGTACCTCTGGAGTTCTTGGGGGACCCCACACTTCAGGACCCCCTCCAACATGGGCCCACCCCCACCACTGGCAGGTGAAGAGGTGGACGGTAGGAAACCCCAAATTACGGCTCACGGTGGGGAGGGGGGTGAGGGATCAGGCAAAGGCTCTGCCAGGAGTCCCTCCTCCCCATGTGGGAGCTCCCTGTCAGAGGGAGGGGGCAGAGTCCCCACCCCTGGAAACCTCAGTCTGAACTGGAACTGGTCCCACACCAGGGAGATCCCCCTGAAGGCACCAGCTGAACTAACCCTAACCAGCCTAGCAACAGCCCCATCGATCCTGGCTGCTGCCTGGGGGCCAGCAGAGGGACCCCCAGGGCAAGTCATTTCCTCAAAGCTGCCTGGCCAGCTGGCCCCCAAACAGGATGGCTGGGGAGCCCCCCATACACACTCACACTCCAGCACGCCTGGTTCACAGCTGACTCCTTCCTCCTGTGGACAGTGGCTGAGGGTGCTTCTGTAGAATCCACTTCCTGGAGGTGGCCCGGCTCCCACTCCCGGAGCCGTCCTGTCCCAGGAATGCGCACCCTCCCCGGCCGGGTCTGAGGTCTGTGGATGCTTCTGACACCTGGCCTCAGTGCCACCGGGGACCCATGGCAGATGGGTGGAGAGTGTGGGCTGAAGATGGCCTTGCCACCCCCACCACACAGTGATGGAGCCGTCTGAGCCCAGCCCTGAGGGTTGGGGATGGTTCAGCATCCCGTGCCCAAGCACCGTGTACAGGAGCGTGTGCTGCCCTCTCCCCGTGCAGTGTATCTGGGTGTGAGTTGAGTGCCCGCACTTCAGGGTGGCCATGGTCAGAGGGTGTCTGTGTGTCTGCATGGCTCTGGGAGCCTGGTGGCCAGCATCCATCTGTGTGTGCATATGTGTATGTGTCTCCCAACCCTGGTGTCTGTAGTGATCCAAGCATGTCTGGGTGGAATTTAGGATTTGTGTGCATATGTGTGAACTCCTGTAACCAGACCCACAGGATTGCAGATCGTTTGATCCAACCCTCACCCGCTAGGTTCAGTTTTGGGGGATGAGAGGGCAGGGAGGGAAGGGGAAAGAGGATAGCAGTTCTGGGCTTTTTACGGGTGTCCTGGGTGTAACAGAGTCCCTCCCATGGCACAGCTTACTGCCCTAGTCAGGAATGGGAGCCACGAGGCCCTTCTGGGAGTCTGAGAAGAGGGTCCCAGAGCAGGACCCTCCTTAACCCCAGGCTTCTCCAGGGAAAGCCCAGAGCCTCAAAGGGCCCATCTTCCTGGGGGCCCCTCACCCAGCACCAGTGGGGCAGACCTGACCTGGGATTCCCTGGCAGGGCTCACCTGGAACCCAGCTGCCCCACCTGGCTTTCTGAGCCCCCTCCTGCTCTTCCCACCCTTGACGTCCAACTGCAGGCTTTGAGCATTTGTCCCCATTTCTCCAAAGGCCAGGCCGGGAAGGAGCTGTGACCCCCATAGTACGAAGTCAGTTCATGGGGACACCACAAGCCCCCACCCCTGCGGTGGTCACAGCCCCTGTTCCGGGTGTCTCTGCTCCGAATAATCAGCCAGAATAGGAAGGAAGATGTTGAATGGGGTAGAGGGTTGCCACCCACCATAAGGGACGAGTGACTTCCTGGGGTCACACAGCAGAGGGGATTGCAGGCTCCCTGGTTGATTTGCTGGGAGCGAGGACCCGACCCTTCATGGATGGGGCTGAGAGGAGCCCAGGGAGACGAGCAAGGTGCCGCTGGAGGGCAGGGGACCAGTCTGCATGACGGACCGAGCTTGCGGGAAGCGGGAGGGCGGCGGGGATCCCCCCCACCCTCCTTCCCCAGCCCCGCTGCGCCACTCATGACGTCCGGCGGGGCGGGGCGCGCTGGGCGAGGGCCTGGCCCTTTAAGTGGCGGCGCTGCAGGCTGGGAGTGTCACCGGCAGGGGACGGGCGCGCCCTCGCAGCCCCGTGGCCTCGCGGGCCCCGGACCCTGGCGCGCGACAGCACCGGGAGCGGCCCCTGCGCCG